ACATGGGCAGAAAGGGCTCGGTCAGAAACCAGAATATATCATGTCCCTATAGAAATCCATGATACGGCCACACCTTGAATACTGCCCCATCTCAAAATGATACATTAGAAGTGGGAAAGGTGCAAAGAAGCCAAGGGCAATAAAAGCGATTAGGGGATGACCCAGCTTCCATATGAGGAGAGATTTAAAAGACTGGGGCTGTTCATTTTAGGAAAGAGACGACTCAGAACCGAAGAACGTCCACACGGGGTCTGACCAATGGTCCCTCCAGCCCAGTGCCCTGTCTCTGACCGTGACCAGCGCCAAATGCTTCAGAGGGGATGAGCAATACACGGCAGTTGTCAACTGATTCATCCCGTCATCCAGTCCCTGGCAATTGGAGGTTTAGGGACCCCTGCAGCAGGGCGCTGGGTCCCTGCCCGTACTGGGGGGGTACGACAGAGGTCTATACGATGGTGGCTGGTGTGGAGAGAGTGAATTGGGAAATGTTCTTTACCCCTTCCCATAACACAGGAACCAGGGGCACCCAAGTGGGTTTAAACAAGCAGGAGGAAGTGCTGTGGCACAGCGCCCGGCCAGCCTGGGGCACTCACTGCCGGGATGGGGTGCAGGCCACAAGTCCAGCTGGGTTCAGCACAGAGCCAGAGACGGTCCAGCAATGGCGGGGGCACAGCCCCCTGGGCTGGGGGTCCCCGGCCCTGCCGGGACGCTGGGGGTCACTGGGGCTCTGCCCGGCTCTGTTCATTGCCGGACCCTGGGGCTGACCCAGTCTGGGCGGGGGGGGGTCCCACACTCATCCCCGGCCCCCGGGCTCCGGCTCCAACCAGGGCTGGGCGCTGCTGGGCCGCGGGCTGGAGACGGGCCCGGGGGAACCGAGCGGCCGGGGCAGGCCGCGTCCGTCCCGCGTCCTCCAGCAGGTGCCGCAGCCGAGAGAGCGGCTCTGCCCAGCGCCGCCCGAGCCCACGGAGCCGGGGGGGGGAGCGGCCCGGGAGCGGGGGGCTCGGGGAAGGGAG